GGATGTACCAGAAAATACAACAAGCGAGTCGGTGTATTGATCTGGATGGAGAGGGAAAAACATGAATTGAACTTGTAATCTTTTTCGGAGGTATCCATTTCCCCTGGAGAAACAAGAAAAAGAAATCCCAAGGATAAGTTTTTTGTTTTAGTTTGACTTGTTGCCACATATGAAATAACGGACTGTATAAATTTAGTGGTGTAGTTTCTTTGCATTCCTGCCCCATTTGTGGATTACACTGGGCATGTTTTTGTTGTTGTTTGTAGTTTCTTTGCATTCCAAACCTGCTCTTTTCCTAGGATTTATGCCAGTATACTTTTGCCAGATATTTTTGTCCCTATTAGAGATTCGATACAATGGAGCTTTTGAACTGTTGTAGTGGGTCATGGTTGTCAAAGTAACTTCTTACTTGCTGAATTTTAGGGGTTACCATACGCAATATTACGCCCCTCTTCATTTTGCCAGCAGTTTTGTGCTTCTGCTGTTCTCCAATATCACATGCTTATCTTGAGTCTAAGCTCATTTTTTCTTCCATCTCATTGGAGTTCTTGGAAAGGGGTACAAGAGAAACCATACTCAAAAAAATCGCAATATGTCCACTACTCTAGTAAATATAGTTGGAAGACTCCTAACAAATTCAGCCCCCAGGGCTTTGGTCTAGTGGTAAGAGCTCAATACGTGATTTGTGGGTTAGGCGTGCATGCCAAGTGTTTGAATCTAATCACAAACAAAAGCATGGTATGTAAGTGGAGAAGGGATTTGCAAGACCTCTTTGAGTGAAAAGACCGGTAGTCTTGCTGAATAACAATTACGAAAAGAGAAGAGTTATTTGTAAATGATACTCCCTCAATTTCAAAAAAGAATGACCCCTTTCCTTCTTTGCAACACTTTAATTTTAGCTTTCCACTTTGCATGTTTAAGGCCACAAGATTAAAGGGCATTTTGGTATACATGATATAACTTTAATGTAGGACCACAAGATTGAAAAGTCAACTTTATTTTCTTAAACTCTGTGTCAAGTCAAATTAGACCACTCTTTTTGAAGCAGGAGTAGTGTTTAAAAGACCCAAAAGAAATCCTCAAAGTCCATCCAAAATCATTATAGCATCATGTGAAGCTTCCTATGGCAACAACGACCCAAGCTGATGCCAAATGCAGAGTCATGGTTATGCACTTATGCTTTATACAATCTCTGCTGATTGTAGTCAAACTACTGCTTATTTTGTTGGTGCGTTGTGTTAAAATATCTGAGAGAAAGAAACATGGAAACTCATCTGTTTCAGTAAGTGCCATATGGAATACTATACAAACAGATTGGTGAAAGATTTTTTTGATTGGACCTTTTGGTCGTTGTACAAGTTCTAAATTGGTGATCCATTTATAGACTGCAGAGCCTGAAGTTAATAGATTGTGTGTCGAGGCCCAGAAATGCATGATTGAAGGAAGGTGGTTGGATTTGGTTTCGCTTATGCTCGCTTCTGCAGATATAATATTTTCTAAAGCTTCTGAAAAAGGTAAAACTACATTTCTGCCTCAGTCCAATCAACTGCTGATAATGATAGGTCCTGACCTTTTCCATACTGGGGGGCTTTTCTTTTTTCATCCATATAAAAGCAATTATTTGATTGTCTGAGCCAGTTATTGTCAATTGTCGTCTTATGTTTCTTTTCCCAGTTTCTGTTTCTCCCTTCTTCTTTTTTTTGCTTTTGTGATTGCCTAATATGCTTTCTTTCTGCTCAGATCTTGAGTGCGTTTTCACAATCATGTGCAACCTTGTCAAGAAGCCTGAGAGCTTGGACCAAGTACATGAGATGGCAGAGCTCATATCCGCTAAAATCATTCAACAACCCAATGATAAACCCGCATTGCGCTTGAAAATGTATCTCACTTTGTGTTAATCACTTTGGTTCCCTCAATTTTTTCTGTTGTCTCATTACATTTTTTCTCATCTCTTTTCAGCTTGTTCAATCTCTACAACCTGTTGGAGAACCCATACAGCCGTTTCTGCGTTTACTTGAAGTCCCTCAATTTGGCCACTGGCGGAAAGGTTACTGAACACATTTTGCCTTCCATCAAAAAGATGGATAACTTTTTGAAGGAATGGAATCTTGGAGTCAAAGATCAGAGAGAGCTGTTTCTTGCAATCTCCAACATTTTAAAGGAAAACAAAGGGTAAGATGGGAGTGACTTCTTTTTTGGACTATTCATGCTTATGATGGTGCCTTTTTCTCATACTCGTGCATATTTGCAGCTCTACAAAAGATTCTTTCATGTTTCTAACAAAGTATCTGGAAACCTTTTCGTCTGAAGATGCTTCTAATATGAACGAGGCTAAGGAAGAAGCTGCCCGCGCAATTGTCGATTTTGTCAGATCACCCGATATGTTTAAGGTATTTCTATATTAAAGTGCTCTCTCACTCTAAACAACTGAAATGGACAAGAGGTTTCTGACTTGCTCTTAAATTGCACAAACAACACAGATAGACTTATCCAAAAATAAAAACACAAAAGAAAAGCTGTCCACAGTAATTTAATCCATCAGGGCTCCTTAATGTGAACAGAAGTCTGACATCCTATTGTTTAGATCAGTGAAAGGCTTGTCAAATAACTGATCCGATGATTTTAAATTCTCAATTTTCCAAGCTTTCTTGCTGATATTTGATGCAATTGGTGTTCTGTGGTATCACCATTCCATGCATCACAGTTAACCGGAGTGCTTCACAATATAAGCCAGAATGACGTGACTAGTATATACAATGTTAATTTTTTTGACTTTTCTGGATGGAGCTGTTCGAATTTGCTATTGCTTGGCTGCCACTACTGTAGAGTAGACCACTATATGATCAGAATGAAGACCTATCGGAAAAGAATTGAAGTTGTGTGCCTTGTGCGTTCTTGTGTTCCATAGTTGATTTCTGTCGTTTCAATATGGCAGTGTGACTTGCTAGATATGCCGGCTATAGCCCAGTTGGAGAAAGATGCTCAATATGGTCCAGTATATCAACTTCTGAAGATCTTTCTCACTCAGAGGCTGGATGCTTACTTGGACTTTGAGGCAGCAAATTCAGCATTATTAAAAACCTATGGTAATGTACTTACCTTTGTACAGATCAAGCCATCAATTTAGAAGGGGCTATGGCCTGAAACTTTTGGTTGATGTTGTAGGACTTGTCCATGATGACTCTATATCAAAGATGAGGTTGATGTCGTTGGTAGATCTTGGCTTGAATGAATCTAGTCAAATTCCTTATTCTGTCATCAAACAGGCATTGCAGGTACATTTCTTATCTTATTTTGTTTGTTGATGTTTCTGCTCTGCATGTAGCTCATTTGGTCTTTTTGCTCTTTTCAGATTGATGACATTGAGGTAGAATCGTGGGTTGTTAAGGCAATTACAGCTAAGTTACTTGATTGCAAGATTGATCAAATGAATCAAGTAGTAATAGTGAGGTGTGCTCTCTATAGTCAGCCTTCCTTTACTGTCTATTCTGTCAGCTGGAGATTTCTTTTAAAATTTTTTTCCTGTGATTCGTAGTTGCATTAATTGTTTGGTTGTCATTGTGTAGCCGATGTACGGAGCGTGTATTTGGTGTGCATCAGTGGCAAGAGCTCCGCACGAAACTAGTGACTTGGAGGGTAAATAATTATTTTTCTACCTAGCTCTAACAGTAATCAATCTGGTTTATGCTGACTTACTAGAGATGTTACATCCCCACCCTTCCCTCTCAGACGCCTCCAAAGCATGCTCCTATATTTCTTCTGCCCAAAACACGAACTCAAATTAGTGCAGCACGCTGCTTCCACACAACATCTTTTCAGATGCTCGTTCATTTTCATTCTTATTTGTAATGGGTCGTATGCTTGCATGATTCTGACTATTGTCTACTCTTTACAGGGCAACATTGCAGGTGTTATCAGCACAGTTCAAGCCAATAAGATTACAGAAGATAGCACACAGGCAATGCAAGGTTTAGCAATCCACTGAATGTTCTTTGTAGCAGTCTCTTCACCTTTTTCAGCTTGAAATTTTGATCTTTTTTTTTTCTTTGGGCAAAAATATACTATTTGTTAACTTACAGTAGCCATTTTTATCTTGTCCGTCGAGCTTTCGGGCTGTATTTCTATGTGACGACTGTCTTTGCTTTGTACTATTAAGTTGACTCAAGTATTTGGAAATAGGTTTTGTTGCCCTACAAATTCACTTGTTAGGATATCATAGCAGAAGGAATTCCTTACAGGCTGGAATAATTCACTCTTGATCATTTCTCGTTCAGATTAGGTGTTATGATTCGGCACGAATGTCACCTTTTGGTGAGTCTCAAATTCAGTTCATCTTTATCCAGCAATATCATTTGTGAAACTAATTACAATTTGTTGAGTGATGTAAAAACTGTATTCAAGTTGGTGATAAATTTTGTTAAGAGCGTTGATCTAGTCCAGATCCATGGTCAAACTTCAAAGTTTAAACAGGTCCAAGGTTATAACAGTGGCGGGTTTTTGATTTATAGTTGGTCAATCTATACGCATAAAAGTGTTTTTAGCATATGAAATTGTAGATGTGGTCAAAAGTGAATGAGGCGGACCTACCCTAACAGTAGGGGTCCATGGATATCCAATGTAAGTATATTTATCTTAAATCGTGTATATTTTTTATGATCATTCCTAAGTTATATCTTTTATATTAAAGAAGATAGTAATGATTCTGACACCTTGAATTTCTGAACTCATTGTACCCTCTCCAGAATCAAATCCAACCGTCTACACTTTTAAGACGACTCCATAGATAGTTGAGGTTGACCATACATAGCTGGTGGATGCTGGGGTTTCCACTATATGAAGGTAGGACATAGAACATAGGACAAACAAAGACTATCAAGTCAACTAAAGAAAAATGGTGTCCATTCATATCTTATCCCAGCGTGTGGGCATTAACTGTATCAGCTCACACTATTGGGAGTCTATTTAAAAAAAACATCAAAGTGAGAAACGAATAGGTAACTCAATCAATTCTTGTAAAAACAAATTCCAATATAGTATCAACCATGGAAAGAAAATGGTACAAGAAAATGACGACGATGCACCTTGTGCTACTTGTAACCATAATAAAGGTGCAAGAAGTAATTGGAGCATTAGAATGTAATGGGACAAACAGCAGCATAGGTGCTTGTCTTCCAGATGTTGATGAATTCTTGATGGAATCAGAAACAAGCACTATGATTCTTGCTGGTAATGCTAGAAACCAATATCTATCTTTCGACGCGGCGGGGAGTAGAGGAGAGATATGTAAGGAAGATATTTACGGTAATTGCATTGGTAATAAGAACGTTAAAGCATCACACTGCACCTATGGTAGCCGCTGCAAACGTGAAATATCCTCGTAAATCGTGTACACGTCTCCAAGGGCATCAACTACCTGTTTGCTTTACTTGATCCAATACTATCTTCTCTTGTTGAAGAAACTACTTGTTTTACAGTATGTATTTGTTGTGTGTCAATGTCTCTTTAAGTACTAAATGCTTGACTTTTATAGCAAATTGATGATGGTGTTTTATCTGAACAGAATGCTTTAGTATGTCTCCAATTCAATTACAATTGGTCTGAAAACTCTAATGTATCACTATGATTTTCATTATTTTGGTTGAAACAAAAACAAAATCTGTATTAACAATAACCGGCCTTACACGATTGGAAACATCAGCAACAACGCACTCACCAAAATCATTACTTTCACACAACATATTAGAAATGTATTAATACATATACACACAATTATAATCCTCTTATAGCCATAAATTGCATAAACAGCACACATATATGTAATTGTAGATATCGTTGAAAGTGAATGAGTTTAGTTGAATTCACAGGTGGACCGCGGACCTACCCTCTAGGGTAGGGGTCCATTGGATAACTTTGTACTATATATTTTTATGAGCATTCCTAGCGAACAAAGGTAAAGTGGTTTCACTAGTTGATTTGGGGCGTACAAGTGGATATTTACTTGGATTCAAGTTTCCACATTTTAATTCTTTGGCATTTTAGTAGTTAGTTACAAGTTACAACTCAATTTTAGTTTCTATAAAGTTACACCTCAAGCTTTGTATTAAGTAGTTGACATGTTTATATTGTTTGAATTTTTTAAAATTAAAATATTTATATTAAAGTAGTAATGATCCGGACATTTTAAATTTCTGGATCCGCCTCTCAAGATCCAAATCCAACCTACCACACTTTTAAGCCGACGCCATCGACGGTTGAGGTTCACCATACATAGTTGGTGGATGGTGGGGTTTCCACTAAATGAAGGTAGGACATAGGAGTCAACTAAAGCATTTAAAGCGGGTGGGCAATAATTGTACCAGCTCACATCTAATAGGACTATTTAAATAACAACACCAAAGTGAGAATAACTCAAACAATTCTTGAAAAAAACAAAATCCAATAAACAAATAATATGGGAAGAGAATTGTACAAGATGATGCTCCTTGTGCTCCTTGTAACCGTAATAAAGGTGGAAGCGGTATCAGAATGTAATGGGACAAGCAGCAGCATAGGTGCTTGTCTTGTAGATGTTGATGAGTTCTTGATGGAATCAGAAACAAGTACTAGGATTCTTGCTGTTGCTGGTGGTAATGCTAGATCTAAAAAATTATCTTACGGGTCCGCGGGGAAGAAAGCAGCGATATGTAATGAACAAATAGTCGGTAATTGCATCGGTAATAAGAACGTGAAGGCAACACACTGTAACCTTGGTAACCGCTGCAAACGTGAAGTAATATCCAATTAGTAAATATGTGCAAGTCTCCAAGGGTATCAACTACCTGTTTGCTTTTACTTGAACCAATAACATCTACTCTTGTTTTTACATTTTGTATTTATTGTCTCTTAAGTACTAAATGCTTGATTTTTATAGAAAATTGAAAGTGTTTCGCTTTAACAAAATGCTTTATTATGTCTCCAAAGTATTACTGTGATTTTCATTAGTATTTTGGTTGAAATAACAAAATCCTGAATTCGCCTATACGCTGAAAAGGTATTAATAATAACTAAAAGATTATTTCCACTTATTTGTACACGATTGAAAACATGAGCAACAAAGCGCTAAAACAAATCGTTTCTTAATGTCTCTGTTTCGCATTTCTGGTATAAGCTAGCTCAAAGAGGAACGGTTTTTATTTTACTCATTTTCAAAAAATTTGTCAAGCCAGACCTCATTTGTTTTCATTAAGATGTAAATATCTAAATTTGAAAGCACATCTGAATGATTAATATGTTATCTCTCGATCTGAAACTTTAAATGATTAATGTTGTTATAATATGTGTTAAGTTAAAAAAGTTGTGTAAGAAGTTCGGCTATTCCAAGTGCATTGAATTTGAAGCCAAAAGTTTAAAAGGTCGATTGTCATAGTTAGTGTGTTGAGAACAAATCTAATGAATTTCAGTTGAAACTTACTGAATTTGCTTTAAATCGCGTCAAAGGATACTGAAGTTTTTACAATTGAAGCAGGGAGGATGCAATGTACATGCTGTTGGAAAATGCAAGAGGGTATCTCAAAGAAACTGTCCCTCATACATTAAAAAGAACTTCTTTCACTTAATTAACAATTGCCAACCATGAGACTAATTATACACTACACCGTCAATTCACTTTTACTTGTCCATTATATTAAAAATATTTTTTTTATTTCTGCTTATCACTTTTAACATATCAAGAAAAAAAAATATTTTTTCCCCTCATGTTTTACCGTCAACGATAATTACTTATTCCCAAACTAAAGGTAAAACATGAGGCAAAAGATAGTAAAAGTGAAAGGGGGGAGTATTTGCTTTTGTGTCACCAAGTAACAACGCCAGAAAAAAGGAAGACCAAAACATAAAAATCAGAGGCGCAATGTAACTTTGAGTAGGGATGGCAATGGGCCGGTGTGAGGCGGGGTGGGGCGGGTTGAGCTTAACTCGCATAATTTTTAATCCGTCCCGCATAATAACTTTTTTCATTTTCAACCCACCTCGCCCCGCATAATTTTTTTAATATTTTCTTTTTCTCAGTTAAGTTTGATAATAAAAATAAAATTCATAAAAAGAAATTTATTTTTTCATTAAGTTGTATTAATTTAATAGGATAGTGACTTAAAATTTTATTTTTTAGAGGTCAATTGGAAACATGTAAGAAATTGTATAATTTTTTATTGAACAATTTTCATTTACTATCTTGAATATTTTAGTAGTTTTAAAGAAATTATTTTAATAAATAATGATCTATCACTCTTATAACACGTAAGAAGTTAAGATTAAATTTGAACTCACATGAAATCACATATACCCGCAATCCGCAACCCGCAACCCGCACCGCCTCACAATTTTTTTAAAAATCCACTTCAACCCACCCCGCATACCACCCGCCCCACCCCGCATATTCTTAAAACCAGCCGCCCCGCCAATTGCCATCACCTAACTTTGAGTGTGGGCCAAATTTATTTTTGGTAGCAGACATAATCAATGCTGTAAGAATAGACAGTGTGACAAAGGACACACAATGCTTGGTAGCCGGTAGGATATTAACTATTGCAATAAACATGAAAGTTGGTGAGTGGTGGCTTTTTATGGCCTTGAAAATATCTTTCATGTTTGAAATTATTTGCTTCATATATATCTACTGTGTTTTGTTATATCTGATTATACCCATATAATTCCAAATTCATCAAATCATTGTGTAACCAAGTTTATCCTTGTGTAACTTATCTAAATTCGCAGAGCCCATTCGTTCAAAAAGTAGTGCTCCATATAAAAAAAGTTCAATACTAACTCAAAACCAAAACGAAAGAAGCATCCCATCACATCATTGGTGGTGTGTAGACAGTGTAGTACCGGTAAAATGAGCCCATATTTTGGTAACCCGCCCATATTTTAATGGGTTGGGTGAATAACTTTTTACATGAGTAAAATATGAGTTGATACCCATATTTAACCCATAAAAATATAGGTAAAATATGGATAAAACATGAATTTGCCGAATAGGTTAAGCTTCTAACTTTTATTCACTCAAAATTCATGATATCACTACAAATATTGTCACTTCTCTTCCTTTTTATGTTCTTCTATAGAACTAATTATTTTTATCTATAATTGAAAAGGTGAAGTCTTTGGCCCTCCAAAAATATACATTTTAAATATACATTTCTTTTGTTAATTATAATTATAATTTTTTATTTGATTAATTTTATATTGGATAATAAATAATAGTGAAAAAATAAGCAAATCATGTATTAGTATTGACATTGCTTAAAGTGCATTAAGCATGTTTTAGTCCTAAAATGCAAATATTCATTTACTTTGAAATTAAAAATATTTTCCCCTTATTATTACATTAATTTATTTTATATTGAAAAGTTATAGGATTTTTTTTTCTACTTTTATGATATAATAAAATTAAATGAAGCATTTTTAACATTTTTCAACTAAAAAAAGACTAAAATATTTTCTCCATGTTGAATTCTTAAGTAGAGTACTATTTACTCAAGAAAATATAGGTAAAATATGGGTAAGCTAGTATTTTACCCAATCCATTAGTATCCATATCAAATATGAACGGGTTGAATTACTACCCATTTTATGTTGATCCATTTTTAACCCGCCCAAATTTGACCCAATCCGCCCATTTGCCATCACTAGTGGTGTGTAACCATACAAGTTACAAACTCCTTTGTGGACTTTCTTCTTTTCATCTTCTTTTATTATTTCCTAATACTTTTAAATTTGTGGTCTAAAATTAAAAATCTATTAAATGTACAAAAAAAAACCTTTTATTTGTGGTATTAAATAAGTTATTTTGAATTTAAAAAGTTGACAAAAAAAGTTAAAGCAATGAGTCATTCTTTTTTAAAAGTACTAAAATGTAAAATAGATCAAATAAATTAAAATGAAAGTAATATTTTTAACATTATTTATTTTTTTTGGTTTTCATCGGTGTTCGGAGCCCACATTGGAACCCTGACTAAATTCGGATCGCGCATTGCAGGGCCCATTCGAAGGTGACGCTCCCAACAAGATTTTCTCCATACCCAAGGCTCAAACCCGAGACTTCTGGTTAAGGGTGAAACACTTCCACCAGTGCACCACAACCCATGTTGGTACATTATTTTCAAATATATAAATTTTGTTTCAACAAGCTTAGAGCATCAATGTCCGAATTCACATTTTAATCTCAAAATTTCAACTACATCACATGTATTTAATTTGATTACAAAAAAAATCAAAGAGAACTTATTATCGTATCTGAAATTATTTAATAATCATAAAAAATACTAGCAATGACTAAAGAAGAAGACTGGGTCAACTTTGGCATATGAACCACAGATAAAAGAAGAGGAAATGCTTTGAGAGTCAACACTCAAGTCTTGCCAATGGTTGTGTATAATTGCTCCTTGGAACAACTAATATCTCCTTACACAAACGCCCATGGCAACCATTACTTTACTTTTCTTTCTCTTCTTACAACTCATAACCGCCACTATTTCTACCACGCCGCCACCGTATAACGCCACTGTCTATGTCTTGCTTAACTGTGGCGCACAATCAGCCACCACCGATGATACTGACCGTCGATGGGATACTGATACTCACTTTCCAAATTTCTTACCTTCCAACTTTTCAAGCATATCCACAACAGCCACAGCTTCTGAACAAGATCCTTCGGTCAATAGAGTTCCTTATACGACTGGTGCTCGTATTATGAGATCTCAATTCACCTACACTTTCCGTGTTACCCCTGGCACAATATTCCTCCGTCTCTATTTCTACCCTGCCAATTACTCCGGCTTCAACAAAGCTGAATCTTTTTTCTCCGTCACAGCTAATCATTTAACCCTCTTGAGTAACTTCAGTGCTTTCCTCACAGTCTCCGCAAGTAGTCGTAAACAAATTCAAAAAGAATATGTCATCAATGTTGATGAAACTCAGATACTCAAATTAACATTTTCTCCTTCACCAAACTCTTATGCTTTTGTTAATGGGATTGAGATACTTTCTATGCCAACTGATCTTTACATCCATGGAGACGTAAAATTGTCTGGGAATACTAATCCATATAACATCAATAACAGCACTGCTCTTGAAACTTTGTACAGGCTGAACGTGGGAGGCAATTCAGTTGCTAGCACAGAGGATACAGGGATGTATCGTGTATGGGATTCAGATGATGCATTTGTTGTTGGATATGGCTATCAAACTCCTCATTTTGATGTCAACATCACTTACACTTCTGAAACCCCGGCTTATTCTGCGCCGAGGATAGTTTACACAACCTCTAGGACTATGGCCAATCACAGCCAGAGCCTGGATTGGGAATTCCCTCTAAACTTTGGCTTCTATTATCTTTTCAGGCTCCATTTTTGTGAGATTCAGCCGGAAGTTCAAAAAATAAACGATAGAAGTTTTTCCATTTCTATCAGAAACCAAAAAGCCGAGCGAGAGGCTGATGTAATACAATGGAGTGAAGGCTGGAGAATCCCTGTGTACAAAGACTATGTGGTTAATGTTAGAAACCAAGATGGTGAGCAAAACGTGACACTTGATTTGAGGCCTAACCCAGATTCTGCGTATCAAAATGCTATCTTAAATGGCTTAGAAATTTTCAAGTTGAACGACTCAAATGGAAACCTCTCCGTGCCGAATCCTGAATTTTTCTTTCCGAATAATTCACCACCAAACGACAATAATAAGAGATCATCATCACACATCATTGCTGTTATCACTGCAGTAGCTGTTATTAGCGGAATTGCTCTGCTTTCAATTCTCTGTTTCTTAATTTTCCGGCGGTGGAAAAGGGGAAAAGAACTTCATACAAGCGTTACAAAGTCATCATGGATCCCTTTGTCAATTACATCGAACTCAACCCAAAGAACCGGCGGCTCAGGCTCATCAGCGCTACCATCCGATCTGTGCCGACACTTTTTACTAGAAGAGATAAAAACAGCAACATGCAATTTTGATGAAAAATTTGTGATTGGCTATGGAGGTTTTGGTAATGTATACAAAGGGTACATAGACAACGGCGCAACCATAGTTGCAGTCAAGAGATTGAATCCTTCATCAAAGCAAGGAGTCCGCGAGTTCGAAACAGAGATTCACATGTTGTCAAAGCTAAGGCATGTGCATCTGGTGTCCTTAATTGGTTATTGTGATGATAACAATGAGATGATCTTGGTTTATGATTACATGTCTCATGGAACTCTTCGTGATCACTTGTACAAAACTGATAATGCTCCACTTCCATGGAAGAAACGCCTTGAGATTTGCATTGGCGCAGCAAAAGGATTGCATTATCTCCATACAGGTATACGGTCACTTAATTCTATACTTCTATTTGCTGTGGTACCATATTAAAGTATGTATTGAGTAAATTAAGTGATTTACTGGTAAAAAAGATAAAGATTAATTATTTTTAATATAATAAGTTATTATTATCTATAGTAGATATGATCGTTAAATTTAATTTCACAGGTAAAAAGGATATCATTATTCATCGAGATGTGAAGTCAACCAACATTTTATTGGATGATAAATGGGTTGCTAAGGTTTCAGATTTTGGGTTATCCAAAATCGGTCCACTTAGTGGATCAGGAAAAACCCATGTTAGCACTGTTGTGAAAGGAAGCTTTGGATATCTGGATCCTGAATACTATAAGCGACAACAATTGACAGAAAAATCTGATGTGTATTCTTTTGGGGTGGTGCTATTCGAAGTGTTGTGCGCTAGACCAGCATTAATTCCTAACATGCCGAAAGGGCAAGTGAATTTGGCTGATTGGGCTTGTAGGAGCTGTAAAAAAGGAAATCTTCAACAAATAATTGATCCGAATTTGGAAGGACAAATTGCCCCAGAGTGCTTAAACAAGTTTGCAGAAGCAGCATATAATTGCTTGAAGGATCAAGGAGTCCAAAGGCCATCAATGAATGACGTTGTCTGGAATTTGGAATTTATATTAAAGCTTCAAGATGCAGCTGATAATAGAGGTCACAAAATGGAATTGAACAGTTACCCAACTAGCCCGTCTTTCCCCTTGATTATGAATGATCATACCAATATATCTACAGACGAAGGATTCGAGGCATTTTCAGGTTCACATGAAGTTGGAGGAAAATACACAAGCAGTGCTACATCCATGACCAGTAATAGTGATGACAAATTGAAGAGTGACACTATTTTCTCAGAGATTTTGAATCCATCGGGTCGATGAGATTGTTATAACTAGTATGATAAATTACATATTAGTTCTTCTCTGTTTTCTTTTTCCTTTGTTGAATTTATGTCCTTATTATATATGTAGATGAATTGAAGCCATTATTCAGAAGTATATAAGCTATAAAATAGTTTCACTATATTTTGTTGGGTGAACTTTGCTTCCTCTTTTTGTTTGTTTTGCATCTTTTGCTTTTTTATTTCCCATTTGATATCTGATATTTATATTAAAGCCTAACTAATTTAGATTTGTGCTGCGTATGACCTCATTCTAAAGGAAGCGCTTCCAACCAAGAATTTTTTTATACTCAAAACATAAACTTGAGACCTCTAATTTAGAGATGAACAGACCATACAGTGGATGTATGTTTTGCATCTACCCTCTCAGTTTTGATAAATAAAACAAATCAAACCAAGCTAGGGATGGAATTATTAATTTCTTTAACTCAAGTAATTATTTGTTTGGTTACCTGAAATACACGACTCTCATTTGATGTGTCATTGTCACTCATGTACAATAATATTCAAATATGAACATGGAGGGATCCACAATCTTTTCAAAGAATTATTAAAAGGAAAAAAAAGTTGATGTCGTAAGAGAAAATACCTCTTATATCATTGGTTAATAAACATGCAAAAGTAGATACACTTTTTTTTCCTTTTCATTTTTCTTTAGTGTTGAAAAGTCAGTTAAAAATTTAACAAAGAATCATCCAAAAATTCGAAAGAAAATAATTCAATACCTTTCATTTCACGTTGGCCAAGAGGAATTATTGAGCTTAATAGGCTTCGAAAAGTCTTTTGTATGGCCTACAAGAAAAGATAGACACCCCAATTAAAAAAAATATTTTTATTTTTATTTCTATTGTTTTTCTTTTTCCTTTTTGTATTCTCCTGGGTACATATATGGTTCCCATTTTTAGTGCAATAAATTCCTATTATTTGCACATTTAATTTCTCTGTCATTGTTTGACGAGGTCAACTCTTGAATACTCAATTGATTTTTCAGTGGTAGTTGAAAAAGCATATCACTACTACAGTAATTAACACAACCTCCATATGAGTAATTAGGAGTTAACACAACCTACATATGAGTACTTATGAACTTGTCACGGAATTTCCACAAATGTCCCAATTGATATGTTTTTATTGAATTTATCAATTATATATATATCGATTGGATTGTAGCGAATAATATTCAGAAGTATATAAGCTACGTATAAAATAGTTTCACCATTTTTTCTTGGATAGACTAGTCAAGTTCCATTGATATGGCACTACGGAGAAGATTTTTAAGCTGAAGAAAACAAAAAAAAAAGATCTTTCATAATTCACTTGCCCTTGACAAAGCTAAAACACAAAGACTTGGACTAATCGTCTTGATAATAATAATTTTTAAAAAAGTTAGGATTCTTTTGATGTGTCACCATCACTCGTACAAAATAATACAAATATGAATATAGAGGATCCACAATTTCTTCACAAAATTATCAAGAAGAAATTAAAAAGTTAATGTCATAAAAGAACATACAATCTTTCTATTTTTTCGCTAAGGACCTTCATGTTTTATTATATAACTAGATATAGGACCCCGTGCCAGTACGGGGCCCAATATATATTATTATTTTATTTTAATTTATGTTATATTATGGAATTTGAAAAGTTATTGAAATTTTATATGATTTTAAAATATTTTAAATTTTTAGCTATTGTGATTTGTAGTACTTTTTTTTAACATAATTTTGAAAATAATATTTATTACTCTGTTTGTTCTAATTTATGTGGCACACACAGAATTTCAAATATTAACCCTTTTTTATATGTCTCTTTAATATATTAAGTTGTTAATTATTGTATTTTATAGTACATTTTGAACCTAATTTTTTAATAATATATGTTATTTGCCATGTCCCAATTTATGTGGCATTAATTGATAGATTTGTTGGAGTCGAGAGATTTATTTTGTTAATTATTGTAATTTATAGTTTTTTTTTCCGTCAATTTCAAACAATATATGTTGTTAATTGATAGAATACTTTTAATGTAATTTTTTTAAAAAAATATGTGTGACTCTCCATGTCTCAATTTATGTGGCACATGTAAAGTTTTGACAATTAACCAAAATTTTAATACATTTAAAAAAATATTTTTAAGTTGTTAAATTTTAAGTAATTTAAATTGTTGTATTATTTATTACAATTTATAATACTTTTAAAGTAGTTTAAATATTGTACTATTTATTATGATTTATAACACTTTTTTTTTAATTTATGTCATATTATGGAATTTGAGAAGCTATTGAAATTTTTATATGATTTTAAAAATATTTTAAATTGTTAGCTATTGTGATTTGTAGTACTTTTTTTAAACATAATTTTGAAAATAATATTTATTACTCTATTTGTTCTAATTTATGTGGCAGATACATAATTTCAAATATTAACCCTTTTTTATATGTCTCTTTAATATATTAAGTTGTTCATTATTGTATTTTATAGTACATTTTGAACCTAATTTTTTAATAATATATGTTATTTGCCATGTCCCAATTTATGTGGCATTAATTGATAGATTTGTTGGAGTCGAGAAATTTATTTTGTTAATTATTGTAATTTATAATTTGTTTTTCATCAATTTCGTCGACTATTTATTTTATTAATTATTGTAATTTATTGTTTCTTTTTCGTCAATTTCAAACAATATATGTTTATCATATAATCCATTTTATGTGGTACCAATATAATTTAGAGAGTCAATTAAATTTTGTATATAAGTTTTAAATAATTAAGCTGTTAATTATTGTAATATATAGTATTACTTATATTATTTTAAATATATTTAAATATTATATGTTAGGTTTTTTATCCTAATTTATATGGCATTGATAGAATTGAAAGTGTCAAATAATTGTTAATTATTGTAATAGATAATATGGAGTATTTAAGTCATTTATAGTATAGTAATTAATATATATTATGTAGTATTTAAGTGTTATATTATGGAATTTGAGAAGTTATTGAATTTTTTTATAATTTTAAAAATATTTTAAATTGTTAGCTATTGTGATTTGTAGTACTTTTTTTTTACATAATTTTGAAAATAATATTTATTACTCTGTTTGTTCTAATTTATGTGGCACAGGCAGAATTTCAAATATTAACCATTTTTTATATGTCTCTTTAATATATTAAGTTGTTAATTATTGTATTTTATAGTACATTTTGAACCTAATTTTTTAATAATATATGTTATTTGTCATGTCCCAATTTATGTGGCATTAATTGATAGATTTGTTGGAGTCGAAAGATTTATTTTGTTAATTATTGTAATTTATAGTTTCTTTTCGTCAATTTCAAACAATATATGTTGTTAATTGATAGATTTTTTGGAGTGGACTATTTTTTTTATTAATTATTGTAATTTATTGTTTCTTTTTTGTCAATTTCAAACAATATATGTTTATTATATAATCCATTTTATGTGGTACCAATAGAATTTAGAGAGTCAATTAAATTTTTTATATAAGTTTTAAATAATTAAGCTGTTAATTATTGTAATGTATAATATTACTTATATTATTTTTAAATATCATATCTTAAGTTTTTTATCCTAATTTGTATGGCATTGATAGAATTGAAAGTGTCAAATAATTGTTAATTATTGTAATAGATAATATGGAGTATTTAAGTCATTTATAGTATAGTAATAATTAATATATAATATGTAGTATTTAAGTGGAAGGTGGTGAGGCCCACTTATGTAGTTTGATAAATATATTGGATATTAGTAGTGATTTATAGTATAGTAATTAATAATATATAATATGTAGTATTTAAGTGGAAGGTGGTGGAGCCCACTTATATATTTTATAAATATATTGGACATTAGTATTGATCTTATTGGCACAATGGTAGTCATTCCTAGAGTCTTCTATAATATAGTAATATAGATAAAAATAAATAATATTTTCATCTAGAAGAAATACATAGGAGGCTATATCTTAAATTACTAATTTACTCATCTTAATAAGGTGACCATCCTCCACTTATTATTAGTTAGTCGTTTGGTGCGTGGTATGAATTATAGTTATTTTAGGGACAAAATGTAGGACTATTTTATTTTGTGTTTGGTTGGAGGTATTAGGCAATATTGGGATTATTTAGCATACTAATTTATACCTTAGTGACATGATAAGTTATCCCTCATACATGGTGGAATAGCTTATCATAGGATAACTTATGCCGAAACTAAAAGGGTGTTTGGATTGACTTAAAAGTTGGTCAAACCTACTTTTAAGTCAGTTTTTAACTTCTAGGAGACTAGGATTGTTTGATAAATATAAAAATAACTTAAATAAGTTAAAAATGACTTAAAATAAGTTAACAAAGTTAAAAACAACTTAGAATAAGTATAAAATGACTTTAAAAGATTATAAACCAAAAGTAGTCTCTCTCTACTTTTATTTTTTTGACTTAAAAGGAATAATACTTTTTTAAATCCAAACAAACTCTAATTATTTTGAGATAACCTATTCCTAACCAAATGAAGAGAACACGCATTCATCTTATGTCATTGGTTAATAAACATGCAAAAGTAGATACTTGTTTAATTTTTTCCTTGTCATTTTTCGTTAGTGTTGAAAAGTCATATCAAGATTTAACAAAGAATCATTCAAATTCCAAAGAGAACAACCCAAAAAACTTTTATTTCACGTATGTCTATACTCATATGGCCTACTGTTCCAGTGAAAAATAATTATTGAGTGGAACACAACAAAGACTATGGAAATAGACACCAATTAACTAGTTTTATTCATTATTCCTTTTTCGTTTTTGTATTTTCCTAGTTACATATATGGTCCCCATTTTCAGTGCAATAATTTCTAATTTTTAGATTGGCAGTGGAGTGGTGCGGGACGGATTGAGTTTAACCAGTAGAAAATTTAATTCACGTCGTTCCACTCCACATAATAATTTTTTTTAATTTCAATCTGTCTCATCCCGCTCCGCATAGACCCGCCCCACATGAAGCCGTCACACATAATTTTTTTAATTTTTTTTTCTAGTTAAGTTTGACACTAAAAATAAAATTCAGAAAAATAAATTCATTTTGTCATTAAATTGTATTAATTTAAGAGGATAGTGACTTAAAATTTATTTTTTAGAGGTCAATTGAGAAACATGTAAGAAATTGAGTCATTTTCATTTAATATCTTGAATATTTTAGAAGCTTTAAAGTTATTATTTTAATAAATATTGTTCTATCACTCTTATAACATATAAAAAGTTAAAATTAAATTTAAACCCACATAATATCTCATATATCCGTAATCCGCCCGCCCGCATTAATTTTTTTAAAAAAATCCACTTCAACCCGCCCCGTATCCCATCAACCACACAACCTTAAACCCGCCCCATCCCATTGTCATCTCTACTTATCTTTGCACCTTTAATTTCTCGTCTTTCTTTGACTGGGTCAACTCTTGGATATCACTGATTTTTCAGTCCATCAAAATCAGTTAACCATATAATTAAGTAACTAATAGAGTATCAACCAACGGTAGATTTTCTTATGTGATCAGATAATCTTTATTTTAATTAAGTATATAGACTTACGGACTTTTAAAATGTTTTATAAGAAATTTAGGGCCGTTTGGCCATATATAAATATTCTCTTGAAAAATTTGGAGAAAATTTAGAAATTAGTGTTTGACTATATAATTTGTGATTACTTGGCTAATACTCCCTCCGTCCACAATTAATTGTCATGGTTTCCTTTTTTAGAGTCAAACAATAAAAACTTTGACCAACATTTTACGATGTATATTTTCATCATATTGATATGCAAAAAATTGCAACTTATAATACTTTTCGTATAGTTTTTGAATATCTAATTTTTTTTTAAAAAATATCGAATTAACGTAATCTAATTTAACTTTAAAAATTAGTCAAATTGACTTTCGAAAAGCGCAACATGACAAATAAAAGTGGACAGAGGGAGTAGTATATTTAGACAACATCTCAAGTTCCCAAGTTCTAGAAAAAAAAATATGGGCCAAATTCTAGTATTTGAGAATTTTTACAAATTTAAAACTCACCCCAAAACTTTTATATTTTATAAAAAGACCATCATTTTTAATTTTGGATAAATTTCATTCCTATTTGTTGTACAAAATTTATATTATATACATATTTTAAATAATTTTTATTCGAACTTGCTCTTCCGAAAAGTCACTTCCAATTATACAAGTAATAATAGTAGTTTTTTTTTAATATAAATCAATGATACTTTCCTTTTGTTTTCTTCCTCTTTTTTATAAATTCATTTTAATTATATTTGTTATCATAACTTTCACATAACATTTTTAATTATAAAATGATAATACATTCCATTTCCACCGTCTCTACTGTCTTGTTTATTTTTATCACTTTCCGAGTTTTTTTATTTTTCTGTTTTAGAGTTTAACAACAATCATTCATGCTGAATGATAACAAGTTTTATGATTTCTCTACAATGCAAATAAATAATAAGATTAAGAATATTGCATGCATGTGTGAAGAGGGAAAAATTTAATACGAGAAAGGGACTAGAGATTACTATTCTCCACTAATTATATAGTATTAACTAAGACACTCATATCATTGCTTAATAAACATGCAAAAGTAGATACTTTAATTTTTATTTCCTTGTCATTTTCCCTTAGTGTTGACAAGTCAAGTCAAAATTTAACAAAGAATCATCCAAATTTCCAAGAAAATAACCCAAAACCTTTTATTTCATGTATGTCTATACTCATATGGCCTACTCTCTAGTGGAATATATATACAGTATAATTATTGAGATGGAACATAATAAAGACTATATATATGAAAATGAAAGGCAATATCTTTATTAGTAAGAAAAATCGTTTGCATGGGCAACAAGAAAAAAATAGACCCCGATTACCCCGATTACCAAGTCTTCTTCACCTTTCATATTTCATTGTTTCCTTTTTCTTTTTATATTTTCATATAGTCCCTATTTTAACTGCAATAATTCCTAATCTTTGCACCTTTAATTTCTTTGTCATTCTTTGTCTAGGCCACCAACTTTTTACTTGGAGCATGTTTGCCATGGGTTTAAAAACTATCTATTTCTACACGTAATTTTTAAAGAGCAACTTTCACATATAGTAAATATAAAAATCATATTTGTATGTTATAACTATAGTTTGTATAATTGCGCCCACTATGGAGAATCAAATTGTATAACTCGCTGGCATGAGCTTCAGATTTGTAGAATTTCGCTGGCAGACCATTTGTATAAATCGTTGGCAGCCTATTGTTTGTATAAATTGATGACAACCTTTCAATTCAATTTTATGTATTTGTATATCTGCATAAAATTTGAATGTATACAATTGAATCGAAATAAAACATTTGTATATCGAATCTCTCTCTCTCTCTCGCTTTATACAACACAAATTATACATTGTAATTTGTATAATCTGTGTTTATATAAAGCCAGAAAGAGAGAAAGACAAAAGAGAATTAGGCAGGGAAAGATCTATATTTGTATAATTATAAGTGTATAGGACGAAAATATATGTATTCGTATTTGTATATACAATTTTCTCTCGCTTTATACAAACACAAACGTATTTTATACATTTGTGTTTGTATAAAGTGAGAGAAGAGAGGGAGAGAGTGACGAGCGAAAAACCTAGGTAGAGAGGCGAATGACAACTGTTTGCTACAAGTTACAATTAAATCAAACTGTAGTATAACATTTAATTTGAATTAATAGTTTGCTATTATATACAATTTTCCCTTTTTTAAAATGACTTTTTAGAAAAGTACTTTAAAAAATAATAATTTGTGTTTGGTTAATTCATTTGAATTTTTTTTTTTATAAGCAAACTATATTTGATTAATATTTTCTAAAAATATGCTTTCGAGAGTCAAATTACGAAAAACAACAAGTGTTAATGTACTTTTAATATTAAGATTATTTTATAGAGAGGAACTATTTTAAAATACTATTATAATTTTTTTAATTAAATTAAAATATACATATTCAAATTTTCAATTAATATTATACTTTTTTTGGGAGGACTGAATCTTTAATTGTTATTTTCTTTTCTAATCTTGCAAAAATATTATTTTTACTTTTTTTTTCTAATTCTACAAATAATATATAAAATATAAAATAATAATATTTAAACATAAAATAAAAATAAAAATTTATTATAAACTTAATAAACCTATGAGATGTGCTAATTAATTAATAAGAGATACATTAGCAAATATGTATATATATAGGGAAGAGATATTTTAGTCTTGAAAAGAATAACTTTTCTGCTTGCAGAAATTTTAAGCTTCTTTCCGTTCACTAGAGAAACTGCTTCTGTTTTCATTTAAAAACAATTTATAGATTTGCCAAACACTTAATTTTCAATAAAAATATTTATTTTCTCAAAATAAGTGTTTTTTGGCATCTAACAACAATGTCAAATATGCTCTTAAAATGCTGAAGGAAAAAAAAAAAAAAAAACTTAAAAGATGATCAGTATTGCTTTGTATCCTTGTTAAGTTTAGTTATACACGCATATAATAATAAATAGATTTTTATATCAGTTACTATAATTTTGGTAATTGTTTTTGTACAAAACTTGAACAAAATGGTCTAGGTGAACGTCAGTTTTTAATACAGAAAAATCGAGAGAAGGCTCAAAATAGTCCCTCATCTTTGGGTTAAGACTCAAAGTCATTCTTGAGTTTTCAAATGGAGCATTAATAGTTCCTCATGTTTGCAATGTTGGTGCACTTTTGGTCCTTCCCTAAACTTTTATCTATTTTTTAACATTAATTTTGTTCATAATTTTATGTAAGGAATGTCCCATCGTGTTTTTATATATTTAGTAGAAATAATAATTCTATGTGAGAGAAGGTGAGAAGAATAACACATTGTTCTGTTCAGTATAAATATTACTGCAACTAAACTAAGAACATTTTAACATATGACATTGCAAGAAAAGGAAAAATTGTACTATTGTACATGAAATTGTCGTGGTGAACCTCTCGACTTTACTTGCAATACGATTTCTACTAAACAAAATAAAGTGTTTTTCTTCTCACAATCTCTCACATGGAGTTATTATTTTTACTAAATATATAAAATGACGATTAAACGTTCAATACATAAATTATGAATAAAATCATTGTTAAAAAACAGGCAAAATTTTGAAGAAGGACAAAAAGTACACCAATATTACAAACATGAGCGACTGTTAATGCTCCATGTGAGAACTCAAAAATGACTTTGAGTCTTGACCCAAAAATGAGGGACTATTTTGAGCCTTTTCTCCAGAAAAATCGAAATAACAGAATGACTTGATCATTGAAGAAGTAGATATCTGTACACCAAATAGCAGAGAAATTTCAGAACAACGCCATGTTATTCATTGCTCTGATTTCCTCTCTCCTATTACATCTAATGACAGTCACTATGACTCTCACGCCACAGTACGATTACAATGCCACAGACAATCTTTTGCTGAATTGTGGCAGAGTATTGGAAGGCACAAAATTAGCAGCCCCCATTGAAGATATCGATGGCCGTCAATGGTATACAGATGCCCACTACCCATATTTCCTACCTGTCAACTTTTCAAGAATATCCACAACAGCCACAGCTTTTGAACAAGACTCTTCGATCAATAGAGTTCCTTATATGACTGGCACCCGTATTATGCTATCTCAATTCACCTACACTTTCCGTGTTTCCCCAGGAGCCAAATTCCTCCGTCTCTATTTTTACCCCGCCGATTACTCTGGCTTCGATAAATCAGAATCTTTTTTTACAGTCACTGCTAATCATTTTACCCTCTTGAGTAACTTCAGCGCTTTCTATACAGTCGCTGCAAGTACCAATTCTAGTAAAGCTGTTCGAAAAGAATTTGTCATTAATGTTAATGAATTTCAGATACTCAATATAACCTTTTCTCCCTCGCCAAACTCTTATGCTTTTGTTAATGGGATTGAGATAGTTTCCATGCCCACCAATCTTTACATCGGTGGAGATAATCGTATCAAATTGGTGGGCCAGAATGATCCTTATTCCATCTATAACGACACTGCTCTTGAAACTTTGTACAGGCTGAACGTGGGAGGACATTCAATTGCTAGCACGGAGGATACAGGGATGTATCGTGTATGGGATTCAGATGAGGAATTTATTGTTGTATATGGCTTTCAAACTTCTGAATTTGATGTCAACATCACTTACACTACTGAAACCCCGCCTTATGCTGCGCCCAGGATAGTTTACGTAACCTCTAGGACCATGGCCAATAACAGCCAGAGCCTGGATTGGATATTCCCTCTAGATTCTGGTTTCTATTATCTTTTCAGGCTCCATTTTTGTCAGAATCAGCCGGAAGTTAATGAAACAAACCACAGGGTTTTCGACATATACATCGGAAATCAAACGGCAGAAAAACAAGTTGATGTAGTTGGACTGAGTGGCGGCTGGGGAATCCCAACGTACAGAGACTACGTGGTGTATGTGAGAGACCCAGATGTCCGACTAAGCAAGGAAAAAGTGTGGCTTGAATTGCGACCTAACATGAAAACTAGAGCTGTGTATGATATTGCTATGTTAAATGGCTTGGAAATTTTCAAATTGAGCGATCCAAATGGAAATCTGGCCGTTCCATATCCTGAATTGGGCTTAGAAGGTTCGATCAAATCAGCACCACTCCCAAACAACAATAAGAAGAAAAGAATATCATGGCATATCATTGTTGCTATCATCGCAGGTGTGACTAGCGGTATTGTTGTTTTCTCAATCCTGGGTTTCTTAATTTCCCGACGACGACAAAATGGGGGAAAAGATTCTGGTACAAGTGTTCCCAAGTCATCATCACTACCATCCGATCTGTGCCGACACTTTTTAATTGCAGAGATAAAAAATGCAACAGACAATTTTGATCAAAAATTTGTGATTGGATATGGAGGATTTGGTAATGTTTATAAAGGGTACCTTGACAATGGTACAACCACAGTTGCAGTCAAGAGATCGAATCCTTCATCAAAGCAAGGGATTCGCGAGTTCCAAACAGAGATTGAGATGTTATCATCAAAACTAAGGCATCGACATCTAGTGTCCTTAATTGGTTATTGTGATGATAAGAATGAGATGATCTTGGTTTATGATTACATGGCTAATGGAACCCTCCGTGATCACTTGTACAACACTGACAATGCTCCTCTTCCATGGAAGAAACGCCTTGACATTTGCATTGGTGCAGCTAAAGGATTATATTACCTCCATTCAGGTAACTAATCAATAAAGTAATAAACATATCATGATCTAACTGGCACGATATATATTTTTTATTTGGTAAAAAATTATTGGGTCAGAATAGATCAAATAACGGGTCAAATACAATTTGCAGAACACAACTCAACCTCCGAAATTGGATTTTGTTTGTTCGAGTTGCATTTTGACATGTTTTGATTCAATAGTTTGATGGGTCATTTCGGGTTTTATGTCAAGCCAACAACCAATTTACAATCCAATTTGCTTAATTTTGAGTAAATTACTTAAGTTGATTTTGTTGCTATAGGTACCAAACATACGATCATTCACCGTGATGTCAAGTCAACTAACATCCTATTGGACGATAAATGGATTGCCAAGGTGTCTGATTTTAGGTTGTCCAAAGTAGGTTCAGTAGGTGGGACAGATACTACCCATGTTAGCACTGCAGTGAAAGGAAGTTTTGGGTACGTAGATCCTGAATACTACAAGCGCCAACGATTGACAGTAAAATCAGATGTTTATTCTTTTGGGGTGGTTCTGTTTGAAGTGTTATGTGGTAGGCAAGCAATAAATCCAAACTTGCCAAGTGGGCAAGTGAATTTGGCTGAATGGGCTTGTAGGAGTTGTGAAAAAAGAAATGTTGAACAAATAATTTATCCAAACTTGAAAGGACAAATAGCCCCAGAATGCTTAAGCAAGTTTGCAGAATTGGCATATCATTGTTTGAGGGAACAAGGGGTCGAAAGGCCATCAATGGGTGATGTTGTAAGAAGTTTAGAATTTGCATTACAGCTCCAAGAGGGTGCAGATAATGAGGTGGATGGATACGTATACCCTTCTTTTCCATTGATTATTAATGGTGATGCTAATGTAAGGACGAATGAAGATGAGATAAGTGAAGTTGAAAGAAAATTGACAAGCAATGGCATATCCATGTCGATCAGTAGGAGTGCCAAAGTGAACAACGTTGCCATTTTCTCTGAGATTGTAAATCCATTGGGTTGATGAAATATTGAAATGTATGAGGCTTTTCAGGTTTAAGGTCCAATTCTTTGTATCATTTTTTTACAGGTTAAACTTGTAAAAGACAACTTACAGGAATCCATTGTATTAAGGCTAAACTTTTTTATTTGGATAAAATTAATGATGAAGTTTCCCTTAATTCTGTTTACAAATTTGATTTGAAAAAGAGGAAATACTCAATCGAAATTACTCTAATAGTCATTGCATCTAAAATAAAAACATATATAAAGAAATACATAATTAGAACTCTATTGAGTACACATTTTGGATAAGAAAATTTAAACTTCCAAGGATCTGAAGTTAAAAAAAAAAAAAAAACGTAAGAGAGATTCTATTCACGTGAAATTATATAAAAAGCAAAATATAGAATCAATTATTTCTTTTCCTACCTAAAATAATTCAGGATTCTTATTTGACATGTCATTGTCACTTGTACACAATAATACAAAGAGGAATCTGGAGGGATCCACAACTTCGTCACAAAATTATCAAGAAGAAATTAAAAGGTTAATGTCATATATAAGAGAACATGCTATCTTTTTTTCTTTTTTCGCTAATCATCTTTCGTACTTAACATAAAGTCGATCAAAATAAATAATATCCTCACCCAAGAGAAGGGGACTAGAGGTTACTATTCTCCCCTAATCATACTCCCTCCGTCCCATATTATAAGTCACCCCTTTCTAAAAATAGTTGAACCACAATATATGTCATTTTATAAAATTTATGCATAAATTACCATATTTTGCCCAATATACCCTTGATTGATTGATTGATTAATTAATCTTGAAAATGTTTTTACTTTGACTAACCTAGGAAATATACAAGTAATTAATTTCATTAGGAGAGTACTTCATTCATTAATTAACTACTTTCTTTATTCACTACTTATTCTATAAAATCTGATTTTGAAAAAAAATATCAACAAACAAATTAAAAATAAAAGATGAAAAAAAATTCAAAAATAATCTTGAAAGTTGAAGCTTCAACAAATTTTATCAAGGAAGATGATATTTCAAAAAGTTCAAAGGATGTAAAAATAGAAGACTCAACCAAAACATGTGAAGGCCAAATTGAGAAAAATCAAGATCCAAATAAAGGAGTTATGCACCATTTAAATAAAAAAATAAATGATTTGTCGAACTAGAACTAAAATTCATTTGTCGTCTAATTTTATTATCAATAACATCAGATTCAGCAGGAAAATTTAGATCAATTTGAAGCAATGGAATTTGAATATTTTGTGATGTTGTCACGCTTGCTTTAAGAGTTTATATATAAAAATATAAAAAAGCATTTTACACAAAATATATAGGAAAATTGAGGTGAGAAAAACTTGATTTTTAAATTTTTTTTGGATCAATTGGTGAAAAATTTGGCTCCAAAAAGTAAATTTAAATAGTCATCTAAATGCATTTATATTTTTGAAATATAACATTTCATCATTTATTACAACGTTGTCATAAACAAACATTAAATAAGGATATAAGAGTAAAATTATCTTATTTCTTAATGCAAGTGCAAAAGGAAAATGTGACTTATAATATGGGACGGAGGGAGTATTAACTAAGAGGACATTGCATATCATTGGTTAATAAATGCAAAATACATACTCCCTCTGTCCCTAATTATCTGTCCACTTTTGAATTGACATAGTAATTAAGAAAACGGAAAAGGGTCAAAATTGCCCATGAACTATGCAAAATAGACCACTTATACCCTCCATTACATTTTGGGATAAAAAATACCCCCACAGTTATCCCAGGAGACCACAAATACCCTCAAGAGTTGACACCCCAATTTTTTAGTGATGTGGCACGCCACATGGGACTAATCCCTCCACCTAAGCATTGCCAACTAAGATTCACTACAAAAGAACTTGACTTTTAGTGGCGACAAAGTCGCCACAAAATTCCAAAATATTGCCACTAAAGGTTATGAGTGATTTTTAGTGGCAACTAAGGCTCCAACAACCATTCGCTAGTAAAACCTATTTTTTCAACAAAAAAATATGATAATTAATTTTCGATTGCGACCTAATTTTCTAAAATAAATAACTTGCAATATCCATATTAAAAACATCCAATATTATTACGAAAAATAATCAAAATTACTTCTCGAT